GCACCCTTTTTTCTCCGCGGTCGCTGTGTCGCCCTGCTGATGACATCAGCGACGCGGTTTAATCGGGCGCGCTTTAGTGGAGCGCGGTTTTGTCGTGCCACGAAAGGGGACAGGGGAGGCAGACATTCCAGCATGGCCCCTGCAGAGGCATTTCTAAGTGGCTCTGGCAGGAAGGCTCATTGTGTCCATCCCTGGGATGGTAGAACGGCCAGCTGCTTGCAGGCTGCAGGAGGTAGAGCTCAGGCATGAAGCTGCCCTCTGAGGGGATGGGGTTGCTGCTGCTTCTTAAATGCTGCTGAGGATTTCCCAGTGGGACAACCCAGACGGGTGTTGTTAATTTGTCTCCCACAGAGTCCTTTCCTTCCCATCTTGTGATGTCCTGTATCAAAAAGCACCCGTTTATGTGAATGGCTCCCAACTTTGATAAGATTTGGAAAGCAGGGAGGGAGAGGAACAAGAGATAAAGGACGAAATAGAAGAAGAAAAAATTGCGGAGAGAAAGAGGCAACGGGGTACAACATCTCTCAGCCAACTGGCCATTGTGGGCCGAGCAGCTCCCCAGGACAGAGCAGGGGAAGGGAAGAGAGAGACGGGTCCATTAATCCTAAGTAGGGGTACTGAAGAAATGGGGAGGAGCAGGTGAGCCTCAGAACAATCACCTTCACCCCCGCCCTGAAGTGGGCTCTTTCCTGGCCCTGCATGACTGGTGGGGAGTCAAGGAATCTCTCTTAGGATGGGAAGGTTGCTCTGGGGCACCCCAAGATTAGATGGGGGGAGGGGAAACTGCCACCCTCCAAATCAATGCCTTCTCTTCTGCTGTAAGAGCTGTGAGTCCCAGAAAAAGTGGCTGATAACCCAGAATGGAATAAGATGCATTAGTAAATGCTCTTACTTTGAAAAATGTGATTGCAACAGGTGCCTGTGAAGACATCCCCATGGAGGAGGAAGTAATAGACCCTAGATTTAAAAGCATAAGGAAGATTGACAGTATTAGTGAAGGAGGCAAGGGAAGACTGAGTTGACGGAGTCCAAAATCTCACTGGAGTTTAGGAAAAATGGACAGGGAAGAAAAGGCGGGAAGGAGAGGAAATGCAGATGCGATACAGGCTGGCTTAAGACCAACTGAGAGTGCAGAATTTAGTTTGTGAGTCATTGTGGTTGTTAAGCAAGATGCCCATATGATTGCCTTGCTGAACAACCACAATCCTGGCTCTCCTCATTGCAGTCGTTAAGTGTTAAGCAACTGCACAGGTCATTAAGTGGATAGAGCAAAAGAGCTGCCTGCTAAAGGATTCAACAGAACAAAATCACAGAGTTGGAAGGGACCTTGGAGGTCTTCTAGTCCAACCTCCTACTCAGACATGGAACCATTTTCAGACAAACAGATGTTCAATGTCTTCTTAAAGACTTCCAGTGCTGGAGCATTCACAACTTCTGGAGACAACTTGTTCCACTGATTAATTGTTCTCACTGTCAGGAAATTTCTCCTTAGTTCCAAGTTG